AAAGTAATTGATTTCTGTTCAGGTAATTATCAGAGGAGGGTAGACACTTGGTTACACTTAAAGTAAATAGGCTGATTTACATAGTTACATACATTAGAATGCATAAAAGGATTTAGAATATTTCGTGATGGATATTGTAATGTGTAGGATTTAGTTATCTGCAAGTAAGCTGATAAATAAGAAATTGATTTTACATGAAAGAAAATAAGGTAGCAGGTATAACACTAGTATAGAGTCACAACATCAATTAGATGATAGTGCAAATTAAACAACATATTGGTCTCCATGAACAATATATGTAGTATTTGAGATGAAAGAAAAAGACAAATAAGATTTATGTAATACATACAAAGAACAGATTGTTGAGGCAACAGCATTTTAATAGATTGGCATTTGAGATGTACATGGTTTGAATCAAGGGTGAAGTGGTAAAGAAAATTGAGCACCAAGGAAAATGATCGCCTTTTTGAATGCAGTGATTAGTGAATTGTTGTCCACATGTGACATTTGTGCAAAGTAGAATGTGAGTAAAAGATCAGCTATAGGCCTAAGGGGATATTCAAGAATTTGATTGTGGGTGTTGTGATATAATAAAGCTAGCTTAGGACAAGAGATACAAGCTTTTGGGCATGACAGTTGTGGTAGATGAGTGAAGGTAATTTCATTAGCAAAGCAGGGAAGAAGAAACAGTTATTACATTTAAGACAAGAGAAGTCTCAGATTTGCAATACCTTCAGAAATAAGTTTAATGTGTCTGCATTAAAAATAAATTAGAGTAATTAAAGTAAATTAAAGTAAATAAAGGTAATTAAGGAGATAAATAAGTGGATATATGATTCAGTGAATAGATAAATAAATGAATTGATAAAGTATTGGAAATAAAGAAAATTGAGAAATTACACATAATTGTAAGGAATGATTGAAAGAGCTAAAGATGATTCATCAAGGCCTAGTTTAACAAGATGTGTTAAAATACTATACCTTTTGCATTAATAAGTGATTGCATGAAAACTGACAGAAACAAGCAACTAACATTGCATGAAATACTATTGGGTCGACCCTTGCATGTAATCATGTATTTAACCTTGTGGAATGTTTGGAGAACATTTCTAATGTATTGGAAAGAAGTTTGGTCTTTTATGAGAAAACTAACTGCCATGTGCAAAGCAATATCTGTACAGGAAACCAGAAAGGACCAAAAGCAGAAGATTAATTCGGTGATCGAGTATATCTGAGGTGCTTTGGAGAAAGTGGAGGGAAGTCAGGAGAAAAGGACCTTATGCCAACATTGCCAAGGGGGATGCCATCAACTGGGTACCATCGGGACCACAGCACAAGACAGCCAAAGGAAAAAGCTCCAACAAGAGAAAGTTAACGGGAAACAGAGGAGGCAGAAAATCCCAAAGCTCAAACCAACGAATTGCAAAGTGTGGCAGAAGCAGTTCATCAGAACAGTTAAAAGAGTAATTCTGATTATATACCTGAGTGAGAAATACAGAAGGTGCCACAAATTCAAGTGATGATAATCACCACAACTTCAGGTTATAAACTGTCAACATAAAGTCTTTAGCAACACTTTTTAAGGCTAGAACGAAACAAAGAATGCTCGCAAGTATGTGCCAGATTTAGGGTCAAAAAGATGAACTAGTGCTAAAAATTTTTATAGTTTAGATAAAGAAGAGGATGATGAAGAGGATCCATGCCTTGGGTGCTAAGTGCTAGTAACCTCTACCCCTAAACGGCGGCTCTCTACGATACGCAAAGTATCTGGGCTGAAGATCAACGTACTCTACGGATTATGTGTGTGGATGTTAGATTAGAATATTGTGTTGTGACCCTAGATTGGGAGATTGTGCATGTTTATTTTTTGTTTTAGTTTTATTCTTTACTGTATGTTAAATAATCATGACCCCCAGAAGCAAATAGATAACTAATTGTATGCTTAAAATACTACTTTTATGATGATATCAACAAAATAGAATCAAGTCTTTTACTGTGTCCTCGTCAGAACAGGACACAGAGGTTTGGCGTGATTCTATTCCAAAGTGCAATTACATGATTTGGTTATTTGTAATAATACTGTGACATATATTTGTCATTAGGTAATATGGCTGAGGGCTAGATCATGAAGTTGCACTATGGGCCAAAAGCAAGAATATTAAGACTTAAAGTCTTAAGAGGAGGGATTGAGGTGGATCTTGTGCTTTTTAAAGTGTGAAGTTAATATATATATTCAAAGTGTATGTATATAATCTGCTTGTAGACTTGCATACCATTAGAAGAATTACCATTTCACAAGAACTGGATAAGTTATATAGTTACCAGGTTTGGGTCAGGGGTTAACCTAGGTGGAAATTGAGGTCAGGGGTTAACCTAGGTGGAATGTGTGTGATAAATGTAGAACTAAGACAAAAACAGATGACAGAGGTGGAATTTGGAGTCAAGGGTTAAACCAGGAGGGATCTTGTGTGACATATGTACAACAAAGGAAAAAAACAGACTATTTAAACGGGCCAGAACCTGAGTGAGACAGAATTTTTCAGACAGAGATGCTACTGGGCGTCTCCTGAAAGTTCTCCTTTGTTGTCGACAATAAAGTATATTCTTCTGATATTCATAACCTCCAGACTGAGTTTGATTTAGTAAGAGAAGAACCAAGAAAACCACCACACACGGGGGAGAGGTGAGCTGTCAAAACACCTCTAAAAAAGGCTTTTTCGGACATGACGTATTTGTACATGTGTACATCACTGTAACACGTTTTATTCAAGAACATTTGAGCTGGTTTCAGTCCTTAGTGCTTTCATTCTCATCTTATTTAAATATATTTAATTTGCTTGTTGAATAAATCATATTTTGTTATTTAACCTTATTAATTTTATGCAACAGTCAAGTTGCATGTTAATTTGCTATGAAGAAAAGGAAGTAATGTATTTTTTGCATGCTGATTTATGTGAAATCTTGAATATAGGTCTATAATCACCTTGCAATTTTGAAGTTAAAGCTTTTTTGCTTTGAGTATAGACTATTTAGTTCATAAAAGAAGTTTAATCTTTTATGAAGTTTGCTGTATAAAAATATATCATTTTAAAATATTTATAAATATCGGCCTATACATATTGGCTATCGGCCTCCAAGTCTGAAGAATTATTGGTTATCGGTATCGGCCAAAAAAATTCATATCGGTGCATCCCTTTTATATATATATATATATATATATATATATATATATATATAGGAACAATCAGAATGTTAATAATTAAATAACTTGTTACTCTTAAAATAATTTACCTTTAACACAATAAACCTAAAACTATAACCTACACACACACACCACTTGCAGACAGCACACAATATAATCTATCAGTGCACATGAGTAGTACAATATGTAATGCATATAAATAATATTTGGAATTTACAGATAGCTGAAGTCCTTCAGTAGTCTAATGAGTACTGGAATTAGCATGTAAGCTAACAAATCACTCATGTTCTCATTCACAATAGCAACACTGGGTTTCCCATACACCGATTTATTTGTAGTAATGTGGGAGTTTTCACATGAACATTTCTTTAAGGGAAACTAGTTGTCCATAGAAAGTTTAATTGTCTTCATAAAGAAAACTTGTTTATTTTCTAAAATATGTCCATCAAAATAAAAGTGTAGTGTTTTGAAACCAAAGTCTTTATTTGTACCCACTACACATCAAGAGTTTATCAAGTCAAAATCTCATAATCTGACAAAAATCTGATCTGTGGTAACTGGCAAATGGCATTGTGTTGTCTGATCAGGGCTTTATGGAGTCTGCATCAGTCTCTCACTGTCATTGCAAGTTCACACCGGCCAACTTTTATTCACCAACAAGTTTTGTGAAACTGCAGACAAAAGCTCAAAATTGGAGGCAAATCGGTGTTTGTTCAAGGGAGTGAAAATCAAACAATGTGAATAATCAGAGATCAGTTTACCCTGCATCTCCCCAAACATTTTCTCCTCCCTAATCTTTCTAATTCTCTTTTCAGTGCCGACCATTTGATTGCAGTGTGCAATGTGCACAAATTTGGTTTTCAGTTCATAATAACTTGAAACACATATAGAGTTATTTTGCTTTATTGCAGCCCTGTAGAAACTCTCAAAACCTGGTACATCTTCACCCCTCTTCAGTTATTGAGTTTAAATCTTCAGGTTCAAAGGGTTTCATTCCAGTAACTTGAGATGTATTCAAGAGTTCACACTTGTCCCGAGATGCTATTCCATGCCATCCCGGGAGAGCCTTAAGCTCCGCTGGACAAGGCCTCATTTTTGCTCTCGATTGTGAAGCTTCATGTGATTGACGAGGCATCTTTTATGTTTAAATACCTTTCCACACTCACTGCATCGAAAACGCTCGCCTGAGTGAATCTTCATGTGTTGCTTAATGGAGTCTTTGCATGGGAGACTCTTTCCACACTGATCACATGTGGTTCATGAGGCTAGCTTTGGTTGTGAAGCTCTTTCCACACTGAGCACATGCAAACGGCTTCTGTCCAGTGTGACTTATCATGTGGTGTTTGAGTGAGCCTTTATGTGGGAAACTTTTACCACACTCTGTGCATGTGTAAGGTTTCTCTCCAGTGTGAATCCTCATGTGGATGGTAAGGTTTTGTTTTTGAGAAAAACCTTTCCCACACTGTGTGCAAATAAAGCTTCTCTCTCCAGTGTGTGTTCTCATGTGGACTTCAAGGTTGCCATTTTGCTTACAACTCTTTCCACACTGAGGGCAAGAGTAGAGCCTCTCCCCAGTGTGAATTCTTCTGTGCACTGCCAAGTTTCCTGTAGAATAGAAGCTTTTCCCACACTGTTGGCATGTGTACGGCCTTTCTCCAGTGTGAATTCTCATGTGCACTTTTAAGTTTCCTGTATTATAGAAGCTTTTTCCACACTGTTTGCATGTGTAAGGTTTCTCCCTAGTGTGAACATCAAGGTTTGGCTTTTGACTGAAACTCTTTCTACTCTGTTTACAGCTGTAATTACACCTAGACTTGGATTTCCGAGGTCTTCTGCGTGATGAAGTCTTTTTAGTCAGTGTAGGTTTTACATCATTCATTATTTCTTGTTGTTTCTCTTCCATTTCATTCATGTGATGAGTCTCTTCTTTCAGCACTATCAGGTCTTCAAAAAAGAACAAAAAAGTGAACTTTAGTATGAAAGCACAAAGTGGCAAGCATGAAATAGATGTTTACCCCAAATATTAAAATGAGCTTATCATTTACCCTCCATCATGTGGTTTTAAACATTTCCTGTCTTCTGGAACACAAAGTAAGCCAGCGTTTTTATCACAATATATTATTTTGTGTTCAACAGAATTTAGAAACTCATCAAGGTTTAAAACCGCACAATGGAAAGTAAATGGTGAGACTTTTTTCATTTCTGTGTCAGAAATACCTTTAAAGAGTTCCTATTATGAACCTTTTTTACAAGATGTAAAGTAAGTCTTTAGTGTTTCCAGAATGTGTCTGAGGTTTCAGCTCAAAATCAGATCATAGGAAAACCAAGCTGTTTTTGTGCCTGTGGCTGTAAATGCAAATGATCAAATGCACTCGCTCTAGATTACTCATGTTGTGTTTCCTCATGTGCATCTCTTTCTTGAAAAACCTGATTTACACAAATCCTGCAAGTTCATAGCAAGTGCGCATAATTCAGCTTATATTAGTAAGTTTGCATTATTGTATATAACTTATGCAAATGTTTCCCGGTACTGGTTTGCAGCTGGACAGGTATCCGCTGTTTAAAACATATGCTTGATAAGTTGGTGGTTCATTCCACTGTGGCAACCCCTGATGAATAAAGTGACTAAACCGAAGGAAAATGAATGAATGAACTTGTGCAAATGCTTAATGCCATGTTTGCTGTAAACTGGAGTGATGAGAAGAGAAGATGGCATACGTTGCTACTTGTATTCATTATGTACTTTTGTCTTTGTTTTCTTGCCTTTGTGTATGTCCTATGGCTTAGCTAAAGACCTACATGATGACATTTTATACCCGACAAGATGCAGAAATGCCATTTAAAAAAAGGTTATCTGCTTTTTGTCCAATCAGGGACAGTGACGACATAAATATACAAATAATAATGTTAACTCAGGGTTTGCGAATGTGAACTGTCTGTTAATGAACACCCCAGATTATTTTATAGTTCGATAAAAAAAAAATACAGACTGTGGAATGTGTTTTTAGCAGAAATATTCTGTAAACTGAATTTATGAATATTAAAAACAGTAAATTACTTGCAACCACAGCTGCCGGTATTTTTCCGTAAAATCAAAATGGGAAAAAAAAAACAGCAAAACGTTTTTTTGTGTCACCATTTTGGAGGTTTGTAGGGTCTGTGTTCAAGTCCAAGATAAACTGAGAGTATTTGATGTTATGCTGCATCTTCTTTTGTTTAAAGGTAACTGTGTAGTTACTAATGCAGTCAAAATCTGTTTGCTAGTTGCAATCACACATGAACACATTATTGCATCTAAAGACTTTACATTTTTGTGCACTAAGCTATGATTTTGTAAACTAAACATTGTCTCAGTTCATGAGATATGGTTATTTTTCATACATTTATACAGTTCTATAAAACTTCCTTTTTTTTCACAGAAAGATTCTGGCAACCACAGCTGCTGGTATTTTTTCGGAAATTTAACAGATATTTTACACAATAAGAGTTTGCTAATTAACACTCTCTTGGTGTTGACAATGTTAACACTTTCAAAAGTGTTATTTTTAACACTTATAGTGGTTCCCATATAAACTCTGAGGGAGTGTTAATTTTAACTCCAAGGTAGTTAAATCTACTATGTAAAATTTGCAGTGCAGGTATAGCATGAGCAATGTGAAACATATTTACAGGTAACCCAGGATTCTGTTTATCCAGGGTTAGAATGACCCAGGGTTAACAATTTCAAGTGTGAAAATTCCTAAGAATACTCAGCATCAGCTCTCAGAATAGACGAAGTACAACGACAAACAGCGACATACAAAAATTTTCAATCATGTCATAGTGACCTGATCTCATATGCTATTGATTTAGAACTTACAATTCAGTTGCCTATTGGAGAAATGACATGGAATAATAAACGGCTATACATGTTCATGACTATACATACAAAGAAAAATAAGAAAATAAGAAAATATGACTTTGCAACATTAAGCAGCATTAGGCATGGGCCAGTATAAGATTCTGACAGTATGATAAGCTTGAATTAAAATATCACGGTTTTAAGGTACTGAGATTACTGCTCTAAAATATATTCTTTTTAAATGTCTGGATAAAAAACAATGAGATGGATTGATGGTGATTGTGTGGGTTTTGGCCAGATTGGGTAGAAAAACATGAACCTTAATTTAAGACCAAAGGAAAAATGAAGACTTGTTTATAAAAGATTTAAGACCTACAGCACAATATTTCAGTAAATTTAAGACTTTTTAAGGCCTAAAATTTTGATTTTGGAATAAAAGACATTTTAAGACTCCACGGAAACCCTGTTTATACACAATAGTCCTGGTAATTAGTTATTAAAATAATGATGTAATTCTAACTAAGATACTATCTGTGAGAACTAGTAACAGCTACTAGAAACAAGATTAAACCCATGAAGAATTTGATGAAAAAAGGGGAATTGTGATCAACGTGACATATGCAAACTCATTCCTGTCTTTCAATGAGTGCTTATGTGCATTTAGGTGAATTAGGCAGCACACTCAGGGCTGCAAGATGGATTTAATTTAGTATTCTTATTATTAAAATATATCTGAATGAAAGGCGAGGCAGTGGCGCAGTAGGTAGTGCTGTCGCCTCACAGCAAGAAGGTCGCTGGGTTGAACCTCGGCTCAGTTGGCATTTCTGTGTGGAGTTTGCATGTTCTCCCTGCCTTCACGTGGGTTTTCTCCAGGTGCTCTGGTTTCCCTTACAGTCCAAAGACATGCGGTACAGGTTAATTGGGTAGGCTAAATTGTCTGTAGTGTATGAGTGTGTGTGTGGATGTTTCCCAGAGATGAGTCGCGGCTGGAAGGGCATCTGCTGCATAAAAACCTGCTGGATAAGTTGGCGGTTCATTCTGCTGTGGCGACCCCAGATTAATAAAGGGACTAAACCAGGGGTCTCAAACTCAATTTACCTGGGGGCCGCAGGAGGCAAAGTCTGGGTGAGGCTGGGCCGCATAAGGGATTTCACAAAAAAAAATTCCTCAAATGTCATTATTAACAGTTTTAATTATTTCTTCTGAACATGAAGTGTCCTGAACATTAATAGAACATTGAGTGAAGATTATGAACAGTTCTTCTGAACATGGCATCTTTTGCCTACTCCTTACTGCCAGAGACTTGACAGCGCTTCTTCTCACAAATCTGAACCACATTTGGCTTTAGAGCGGAAGCAGTTGAGACCTTCAGTATGGCTTGAAGATGATCATCATTAAGTCTAGACCTGTATTTTGACTTATTGAAGTTCAAGGTGGAGAATAACTTCTCACACAAATATGTGCTCCCAAAAAGGCCAAGTCCTAGGGAAAAAAGTGGGGGAACTCACTCAAAACTTCCATTCCCTCACCTTAAAAAAAGGCGTATATATGTATAAATAAAACACCCACACCCCACTCCAGTCACATCAGTCTGTACCAGTCTGTATCTACCTATAATATATATAAGAAAGGGCTAGAAATTAACTTTTTTACTTGGTAGCACCGGTGCTCCCAACTTCAAATATTTAGGAGCACCAAAATAAATTTAGGAGCACCAGAAAAAATTTCAGAGCACCCGCCAAAACTGAATGAGCACCGCTGCAAATTGCTTTTTAAAGGATTTATTGTATTTTAAAACAACATCAATAGGACTGACAAAAAACAGAAACAACTATCTAACTAATGCTGCGAAGACATTGATATTTGTGTGCAATAATTCCAAAATGAATGTCTAATAATTAGGCCATAGAATATTAATGATGATGAAAATGACAATAATAATAACAATGAATTCCATTTCTCATTATGATACTGCCTTGAATGTGCATGAATGTAGGTTATCTGATATAAAAAGTCTGTTACTTCATGAAAAAATTTGTATAGTTTGCATCAAACAAAAATTAAGCATTGCAGTAAGAAATATTTATTTTGTACTTCTGTTTTTATATGCATGTCAATTTAATAAATAATATTTCTGCTACAAAACAAACAAAAGATTATAATAAATCATTCAATTCAATGATGAAAGCTGCAAAGCAGTCATCAGTAAATAAAAATAATAATAATATACACCTCAAAAAAGAATAGACAAAAGAAAGTAAGTAAAGTCTCACTTCTATCACTCTTTAAAAGTTTTGGTTTCAGTTTGTGTCAATTTAAAGGTTCAGATGATCTTCATGTTTCTGTGTTAGTGGAAAAGCTGGCGAGTCAGCCGACCCAATTTATGAGCAGGCAGCGCAAGATTCTTGCGAATACCACCGGCGCAATACCGCTCTTTGTTACGAGCCGCAGTTTCAGTGTAAACTTAGTAAAGGCGAGCTTCTTTGGCGATGATATGTACAGTATTAGATTTGACTTTTAGCGGACATTTGCGCTGAACACGCAGTGAATGCGACGCATGGAGATTCGGGCACCTTCTCTAAGAAGCGCGTACTCGATTGATCTCAGCTGGTGGATCATTATTCACCACGTGACGTGTCATGATCGCTCTCATTTGCACCTCAATTTTAGGTGGGGTTTGCAGACCTGTGTGCTTTAAGTTTTTACTCTTCAGCCGTTTGCATTTCCCGTGGTCATAAAAGCTCCTTCCCTGTCATCTGACAGCGGAGTACCTTGAGTGAATGACAGCTAATATCAACCAATATAGCGGCTGGGAAGAGCGATTCCGCACGTTTTTACAAAAAATCAAAACAGGTCGCACTACAACCATTATTAGCAGTCGCACTAATGCGCCCAAATATATTATGAGGTCGCATAGATTAATTTTCGGGCGCATATGCGACCAAAATGGTCGCAATTTCGAGGCCTGTAAGATGCAGGCTGTAGCTAGGTAGCTAAGTGGCAGGCAGGGGCGGGAACAGATTACCTTGGTTCTGGCCGGCGCGAGATCCCGTCACAGCGTCTAACAAAGGGGCGGGGTACGTGGTGACGCCACCGGCATCCCCGCCCCTTTGTTTACACGGCGGGCGGGGAATGCCAGTGACCGCTGTGTACGGATAGAATCAGCGGAGCGGGGAGCGCTGTCTCTCCCCGCTCCGCTGATTCTGTCAGTGTACAGCGGTCGGCGTGGGCCACAAAATATTGCACTGAGGGTCGCAAATGGCCCGCGGGCCGCGAGTTTGAGACCCCTGGACTAAACTGACAAGAAAATGAATGAATGAATATCTGAATGAGGATCAAATGACTGAGTTAGTCTTTGAGGCCCCGTTTACACTAATGCGTTTTCGTTTTAAAACGCATAAGTTTTGCTATGGTTACGCCATCCGTCCACACTATGCTGGAGTTTTCCAGTGCCGAAAACTGAACGTTTTGGAAACGCTGAAGAGGCCGTTTTCATTCTAAAACGATGCTGCTCCAGTGTGGATGGGGGAAAATGGAGACACACAGTTCCGTCCTGCATTCTCCTCTTGTAAGTTCAGACTTCTCAAGTTTGATCAAGGCTGCAGTCTCCCCCTCCTCAGTTTGATATGGAAAACAGACTACAGAGGACACGGGTAAATCTTCAAAGGGAACAGTGTACTTTATAACTTCATTCACATCACCCTGGCTACGTTTTTACTTTCTCAACAATAAAATGTAAACATGATTTAAGGAACTGCCTATTTTCATTTTGATATTAGCAACTTAACAGACAGCAGAAATGTTGAGGCGTCGTGCTGCATATATGAGCGTCATCTTCACTGTGTGGATATTTATAACTAAACGGAGCCTATAACAACTGCCTCCTTTCAATTTCAGTGAAAATACGAAACATACCCTCTCTTTTGCTGAATATCAGTTTTAATAATCAATAATGGCCATTATAAAAGTATAACATACAATAAGTTTATACATTATAGGAAATAAAGGCAAGCGATCAGTCAATATACAGAATGTACGTGGCTACATTAATTATTAACTTATCTTTGCACTTAGCCAAAACACGTTACCTGAGAACAAGTAATAGATTCCAATGACCAAAGTCAGAGAATATGTCGTTAGATATAGACAACAAGATGAATGAAATATCACGTTTAATAAATATAGTGAGATTAGATCCAGCGGGAGATGCTTGATGAGCAGTACAACGAGCACAGCTCTCATGTGGGTAAATAGGCTAGATATTCTGCAGCGCTTGCCCGAGAGTGTGTGTGTGTTCAGGTGATGTGCGTTTTCAGCATTTTGGTGTGGACGGAGAGCTGGGGTCCGTTCTTCGTACGTGGATTACTCAGCTGGATTTGGATATTGATTTTGATATTTTCCAGGATCGTTTCGTTCTTTAAAGCTGATCTGAGAGTTGTTGTTATAGCAACAGTTCTGCTAGCTCAAACCTAATCGGAAGCAGGCTTAATTTATATAAACAGGATTAGATCGGCTCAGTTCAAGCAAAGATAATACAGAAAGTATGTACCGAATTCTGATATTTTCTTACAATAGTAGTTATATACACTTGGGAAAATAGTAAATAATTTTAACTATAAATATTTTTTAAACTATATATATAGAGTTATAGTCATTAATAAAATAAATAAAGTTATACATATTAATAAAACTTATGCAATCTGCACCCTCGAAATGAAAGTTCAAAAGACCTTTTTGTCTTGACCTGGTGGTGCAAAGAGAAAACATTGATATGAACTTTTTTAGATTGCTTTAGTACAAATTGTGACTTAAAAAAAAAAAAAAAGCAATAATACATTTATGCAGTCATAAACATATTTTGACAGTTAATATGCCAGTGATTATGCTTAACAAAAGTTGCAGACGCCTTTACCAATATCAAAACGCTTTTGTAAACATCCAGTTATTCCATACAGCGATTAAAAAACTTATTATAATAAAGAAAATATTTTCTAAATGTGGAACTAAATACATTAATTTGCATTGAAATACATGATTAATACACTTGACACATGAAAGTGTAAAGCCTGCAGCTCACAACAAATGTGGAAAGTTATTGCGTGTCATATTTAACAAACCGTTTACTGCTAATTTGATGTAATTTTGCTCACATGGATAATTGAATATTAATCAGATGATGTCATTACGCTGCTGTGCCGTCAGCCAATCGTTGCATTGCTAATCATGATTTCGAGGATCGATAGATCTGTCCTTCACAACACATGCAGCGATCTCAGATCAGTTTATCTATACATTCTAATCTGATTAGCGAACTTGTTTGAAGAACCAAATTAGCCAGAGATCAGTTATCAAGATTAAAAGATCCAGAATCTGCCAAATCATCTTAGATCATTCAAGCAAGGTACGAAGAACGGACCCCTGTTCAGAAATGCTCTGTGGAATGCTATTGTGGACGCCGTTTTAAAACTAAAACGCACTAGTGTAAACGGGGTCTGAGAATGAAAATCAACCTGTTTGTTCCTGTGGATCTTCCTGTTTGATTCTGAATATTTCTTCAATCTTCACGTCTTCACTCTCCTCTTTAATAAACGCCATCTTTATAACAGTGTGGAGATCAGTCGATTCTGGAGGAGTTTTTCTCTGTGTTTGGACACTTTATCCTGTTTAAAATGAACAAAATAATAAAAAATGTCCTGTTTAAAATAAATAAATCAATGAACAGAAACAAAATAACTTCTCTTTAACACCTAACAACTTAAGCAGTTTCTTCATATAAGAGAAATTAACAAAAATAAATCAGGTAAAACGTTTCTTTAAAACGCTTACTACACACTTTTCTGTTACTTTATTCCAAAAATAGCCCTCGGTTACTGAGAATAAATTAGTACTACGTTGTATAAAGGGTTAAAATAATATTTCCAACAGCAGCAACATAATTTAACATCATATTAAAAACTAAAACTTTAACTTTAAATCGGTTTATATCTGTAAACAAACCTTACTCCAGCTGAATTACAGCGCTGAAGCGGCGCCGTCTGATGACGTCACACGCCATGCCAAAATAAAAGTCTTTTTTGTTAAGCTTTTTTGCCACTTACTGTTGCAGTCATGACTAGGGCCAGATGGAATCTGCAGCTGTTTTTTGCTATTTCTGCTGAAAATTTTGGTAGAAATCTGCGGATTTCTGCAAAATGATGTTGGTAGTATCATAACTAAAACCTTAATATGGGAAATAAAAATATATATATTTTTTTACTTTTATTTAATGTTTACAATGCAAATACAAATAGATTAACCTTATTTGGTAAACAAAGCAAGTCTCTCGTATAATATATCTACTAAAAGACAGAAAATATTACTTTACAAACTGCATTGTACTTAAATCCGATTAATATTTTCATATTAGTCAATAATATTACTGTAATTCATTTTTAAACGCAATAAATTTAGATTTACACATGTTTACTCAAAGTAAATAAACACAATTAATGATGGGCTAAAAATCGGCGGAAGTCTGTGGAAAATCTGCGGAATTCTGCGCGCGCAGATTCCATGTGGGCCTAGTCATGACTTATAATAAAAATAATAAATCCTAAATAAAACTAAAGTTAAATATTCAGATTAAATATAGTTTCAGAGAACAGGAAAATGTTAGGAAAGATACTGAAATTCTGGTAATTTTATAACAGTGATTTTACAGATTTTAGAGGAAATCTCTAAATATTAGAGGGAACATACACCTGACAACAGATCCTATCTACGTCGCAGCGGATGCTCTTTAATAATGTAGCCGTTTTGCAAACATCACGTTTTTATTGAGTTTGTGTCTGTCATATACAGTGCATTTTTGACAGAAGCTTTAAAGAGCCTGTGTGGTGACCGCAGAGATTCAGCTCGGACGAGACGCCGTTTAAAGTTTTTTTTTTTTTTTACATATAGAATTTCATTGCTTTAAATTATTGTAATGTTTTTTATATTTGTAGTTTGTATATAAAACAAACGCTTAGCTTATTGTTCGCAGTGATCGTTATAATAGGATCATGTGCATTGCATAGGATTATTCAGTGTTTACATTCTTTAGTCGCAGCGCTGTTTTTATTTATAGCATTTAGTCATTAAACAATGATATTTTGAAAAAAATTATTGTAATTTTAAAACAAACTTGCAATTCTAGCCCGTGGTTGTAATATTTCAAGCTTGTTCTCAGACAAGTCTCTGGGTCACTAATACTTTGTATTTCTGGAAAATCCGGGATGGAATTCTAGTAAAAAGTGGTACTGTAGAGGAACGGCTTCCCGACAGTTTTACACCACCAAAAAAACGAATTTATTTTTATTTAATTTATTAATTGACCCTGCTAATCCAGCGAGAATATTTTTTTCTATGGTTGCATCTGCATTTTAGTTTCTGTGATATATTCTTTACAATATAGAAAGGCATATTGTATCTTTCTCAATTAATTCAATAAAGTTGTTCTTTAAACAGCTTAAGCATTGTGATTTAAACCTGTATTTTGACCCTAATAGTAAATTGTTATTTTGCACATATGAAATAAAATGCATTTTTACTCTAATGAAAAATATGTGTTGAAATAGAACACAAATAGACAACTGTATTTAATATTCTACAGTTTTATTTTTTGAGTAATTGATTTTCACTATTTTAGCCTATAATTTAAATGTTCTCTGTGTTTAAGTGTACTGTGTGTATAGAAGAGTTGAGTGAATTTATGCTCTTGATAAATGTGTACAGCTGTATATTTGTATAAATAAAAAAGGATGACATATTGTGGTGTTTTGTCATATGTATAGATTAAAAAAATATGTATCCTTTAAAAAACTGTAATTATGTAATATGTGTTGGTTTAATGTTGAAAAGGTTGTTTAAGCATTCATTTAAACGTTAAATCATTTGGATAAATTATATGTTGAAAATCTGTGGATTCTATGATGTTCCAGTCGACCTAAAATCAACATCATTTCAACATTAGACAAACCAATTAGGTAGATTATATGTTGGAAATGTGTGGATTGTATAATGTTGTTTCGATCGACTGAAAATCAACATTGATTCAACGTTGGGTAAGTAACCAATTGTGACGATTTCAGGTTAGATTTGAATGGATTGCCTGACGTCGTTTCAACATTACCCCGATGAGCAAAACGATGTTGAATCAACGTCGGTGATCAACGTGGATTCGATATCAAAAGAAACGTTGATTTTAGGTTTTGTGAAAAAATACATGTTGTACTCGGCCTAAAATGTACATTCTTAAATGTTATTAAGGGCAGAAATTCACACATAGATTAAGGTACATCTGAACAGTGATTTACAATAATAAAATCCAAATGTCAAAAAATGGGGTTTATCGCGTTTTGCAACCAAACTCTTCATATACATACAGTTGAAGTCAGAATTATTAGCCCCCCTGAATTATTAGCCCCTCTGTTTATTATTTCTGAAAATATTTTTTTTCAACACGTTTATGAAATAATATTTTACTAGATGTTATTCAAGACACTTCTACACAGCTTACAGTGACATGTGAAGGCTTAACTAGGTTAATAAAGTTAACTAGTGAGGTAAGAGTAATTTATTAAGGCTCATAATTCTGACTACAACTAACTTTAAGTTACTTTTGTATTTGCATTTTAATTTATTTTCAAAATAGGACTTTATTTGTATATATATATAGTCATTCTATTTATGTAATATTCTTGCTGTGTTTACATAAGAATCCTCTGCCTTTTATACTTTAGTTTAAATTGTATTTTATATATAATTGTTTTATTTCTGTCATATGCTTGCTGTGTGTGTTTAGATGTATATTTTGTAATAAACTGCAATATATTTAAACAGTAAGGCCTTTTTCTTTATTGATTTCTTGCATCATTTCAGAGAAAACTAGTACAAACTGTAAATTCTAATTACTTTCATTTGTAAAATATATTATAATAATTTGGTATTTTTTCTCAAGCAATGCAAAGTGCATTATTTATTACATACTACATGCATCCATTTAAAAACCTGTTTAGTGATGGGAAGTTCGGATCATTTTACTGACTCGAATCTTTGAGTCTTTTTTCAAGTCATTTCGTTCACTTGGTTCAATTTGCCAAAATGTTATTAAAATTTTACGAATTGCTTCCAAACACATCTACAACTAGCTCAAAAGGTTGATTGCATGACACATAAGTCATAAATAGAATACTATAAGAAAGAGAAAATAATAATTCAATGTTTCCCTGCTCTTTTGTCAATGAAAGCATTTTTGTCTCTTTGCTCAGCTCAACTCTTCATGTCTTCTAATGTCAGTGGTTCGGTTATGTTACACTGGCAGTCACATATAATCTTAACCAATGTACACAGTCTGAGCCGATAGAAGCCATCATAATTAGCTCACCTTTCAAGTCTTGAGTCGTTTGTTATTTACGTGACAGAATGACTCAAACCTGGGGACTCAAGAGATGAGCGGTTCAATTCTTTTTCCAGCTCTAAACGGATATAATTGGCCCGTGAGGAACGAGTGACTCAGACCCGATAGAGGACTCGTTCATGATTGACCCATTACAAAACCTGGGGTCCGTTCTTCGTACCTCGCTTAAATGATCTAAGATTATTTGGCAGATCCTGGATCTTTTAATCTTGATAACTGATCTCTCGCTAATTTGGTTCTTCAAACAAGTTCGCGAATCAGATTAGAATGTCTGGATAAACTGATCTAAGATCGCTGCGTGTGTTATGAAGGACAGATCTATCGATCCTCGAAATCATGATCAGCAATGCAACGATTGGCTGACGGCACAGCAGCGTAATGACATCATCTGATTAATATTCAATTATCCATGTGAGCAAAATTACATCAAATTAGCAGTAAACGGCTTGTTAAATATGACACGCAAGAACTTTCCACATTTGTTGTGAGCTGCAGGCTTTACACTTTCATTTGTCAAGACAAGAGTATTCATCATGTATTTCAATGCAAATCAATGTATTTAGTTCTACATTTAGAAAAGATTTTCTTTATTATTGTAGCCGTTTTTTAATCGGTGTAAAGAATAACTGGTTGTTTACAAAAGCGTTTTCATATTGGTAAAGGCGTCTGCAACTTTTGTGAAGCTTCAAATCACTATTAACTATCAAAACATGTTTATGACTGCTGACATGTATTATTGCTTTAAAAAAGTCACATATTGTGCATTTCTATTATACACAATTTGTACTAAAGCGATCAAAAAAGTTCATATCAATAAGTTTTCTCTTTGCACCAGGTGGCAGTCTTTGTACTTTCATTTCGAGAGTGCAGATTGTATAGCCTACGTTTTATTAATATGTATAACTTTATTTATTTTATTAATGACTATAACTTTATATATATAGTTAAAAAATATGTACCATTTTCCCAAGTGTATATAACTACTACTGTAAGAAAATATCAGAATTCGGAACATACTTTCTGTATTATCTTTGCTTGAACTGAGCCGATCTAATCCTGTTTATATGAATTGAACCTGCTCCCAATCAGGTTTGACCTAGCAGAACTGTTGCCATGACATCAATTCTCGGATCAGCTTTGAAGAACGAAACGATCCTGGATCGTGTCAAATCGTCAATATCCAAATCCAGCTAATTGAGTAATCCACGTACGAAGAACGGACCCCTGGTTAGAGATATCTGCTCCAGTCGGGAATTGAACCTTCAACCTTGTGATCTACCCAAAGTATTATTTATGGACATATTTCTTGAACTAGTACTGTTATATATGCATTGAGTAGTTTATAAATCCAAAATAAAACCTTAATATCACTTCTTTCTTTCTCAATTTCTCAAATTTTCTTCTTTTTCTCATATTTTTTTCTTCCCCTTCCAAAACAGACTATTGTTTCCCAGCTTACAACACGTGTACAAGGCATGAGGACATGGGAGTACAGGCAGTCTTGTAATCGTGGCTGAGTGGTTAAGGCGATCAACTAGAAATCCATTGGGGTCTCCTCCTGCAGGTTCAAGTCTTGCAGACTATACCCACATCCTGTTCCTTTTTAAAATTGCA